CTCAGCCTCCCAAGTAGCCAGGATTACAGGCATGCACCACCATGCCCAGGTAATTTTTGTATTTTTAGTAGAGACAGGCTTTCACCATATATTGGCTAGGCTGGTCTCAGACTCCTGACCTCAAGTGATCTGCTTGCCTCAGCCTCCCAACATGCTGGGATTATTGGTGTGAGCCACCACTCCCAGCCCAGATTGGATAGTTTCTGAGGGACATGTGGGTAAGTTTCCCATTTTCCATGGACATTGTAAAGTGTGTGTTTGACACCCATGATGTCTTCATTGAGCTTCATTAAGAACTTATAACAAAGGTTTTATGCATTCTTGTCATCACTTAGCCCTGGTACCCTTACCTCAAGGAGTACACTGGTCTGTATGATAATGCACTCATCACTCATTAATTCGCCTTTGATATCGGAGTCCTGTTTAGAGGATGGAGTGAATTGAGAACTGAGGTGTTCTCAGACTGGCCATAAGGGGCCCCTATAGCACTTGGCTCAAGGGCACAGCAGCAAGGAGCATGACTCTAATTGTGGCTGCTCCTGGGAAAGAATGGAAGGCTGTGTTTTGAACCTTCTGACCTGGAGTTTGCCTGGGGAAGGGAATGGTTGGTCTGGAAGAAGCAGGAGAGTAGTCTTTATTCCAAGGAATGTCTCCCCCCAGCAATGTTGAAAGCAAGCCAGGCCGGGTGCAGTGGCTTATGCCTGTAATCCCAGCACTTTGGGAGGCCAAGGCTCAGACAGTTTTATATTTGTTTCTGGTAAATGTTTCAAGATCTTGAAGCTATAAACCAAGCTTGTCCAACTTAATGCCCACAGGCCACGTGAGGCCCGAGATGGCTTTGAATGTGACTCAACACAAATTTGTAAACTTTCTTAAAACATTAGATTTTTTGTGTGTGACTTTTTTTTTTTTTTTTAGCTCATCAGCTACTGTTAGTATTAGTGTATTTTATGTGTGACCCAAGATAATTCTTTTTCCAGCATGGCGCAGGGAAGCCAAAAGATTGGACACTCCTCCTATAAACCCAGTGGAAAACAAAATAATACTTGTTTACACAATTCACTGGTAAATAAGATTAATATTGTCGGTTTAATGAAAACAGCTGTATCTACTGCGTTATTGACAAGATACCTATGTATTTATGAGGTTCATCTTAGGTACCAACCTGATATTAACAGGTCATAAAATTGATTACTATAAAAATAACTTAAGGGCTGTGCACAGTGGCTAGTGCCTGTAATCCCAGCTGCTTGGGAGGCTGAGGCAGGAAGAGTACTTGAAGTCATAAGACCAGCCTAAGCAATGATGACTATCCCTGTCTAGCATTTTCATTTTCATAAGTAATCTAGATATAATTGTTTAAAAATAAATTAGATAATTGCAAATGGAATAAATGTTTATAAATAAACTTAAAAAAATTTTTTTAGAGAGATGGTGCCTTACTATGTTGCCCAAGCTGGCATTGAACTCTTGAGCTCAAGTGATCCTTCCACCTTGGCCTCTCAAAATGTATAGTAGGCATGAGCTACTGCACTCAGCATGAACTTCCTTTTTTTTTTTTTTTTTTGAGATGGAGTGTTGCTATGTCACCCAGGCTAGGGTGCAGTGGTGTGATCTCAGCTCACTGCAACGTCTGCCTCCCCGGCTCAGGTGATTCTCCTGCCTCAGCCTCCCAAGTAGCTGGGATTACAAGCACATGCCACCACATCCAGCTAATTTTGTGTTTGTAGTAGAGATGGTTTAGCCAGGCTGGTCTCAAACTCCTGACCTCAGGTCATCTGCTTATCTCAGCCTCCTAAAGTGCAGAAGAGTTCTAAATAACAAATGGGACTGGCCACAGTTGCTCATGCCTGTAATCCCAGCACTTTGGGAGGCTGAAGCGGGTGGATCACGAGGTCAAGAGATCGAGACCATCCTGGTCAGCATGGTGAAACCCCGTCTCTACTGAAAATACAAAAATTAGCTGGGCATGGTGGCGCATGCCTGTCGTCCCAGCTACTCAGGAATCTGAGGCAGGAGAATTGCTTGAACCCAGGAGGCGGAGGTTGCGGTGAGCCGAGATTGCGCCATTGTACTCCAGCCTGTGTAACAAGAGCAAAACTCCATCTCAAAAAATAAATAAATAAGAAATAAATATAGTACTAAGAGTGGAGGTTTAAGAAATGATAAAAGGTCTAAAGAAGTCAAAAAGGACGTATAAAGAAGGAGCAGGCCAGGCATGTTGGCTTACGCCTGTAATCCCAGCACTTTGGGAGGCCAAGGCAGGAGGATCACGAGGTCATGTAGGGTCCAGCCCTACAGGGTACTGTGAGTCCCTCTCTGCTAGTGCAGAGATGAGAAACTGTGGAAATAAAAGACATAAGACACCAAGAAAAAGAAAACAAGAGTTTGGGCCCAGGGGTCTACTGCCAACCAAAGCTCGAGGTCAGGCAGTGGCCCCCAGTGCCTGGGCACTCTGACTTTTATTGAGTACGAAGCAGGGGGCAGGGTAGGTTAGTGTGAGGTAATGGAAGTCAGTGGTAGGGTCAGGTAAATCACATGTCTTAGAGATAGGGGCCCAGTCTTTGAAGTAGCCCAGGCGAGGAGAAAACCTAATATGTCAGCACTTTTCCCATACTTGTCAAGAAAGAACAAAAGCATTAAGGTTTATGTTACTACTACTGATTCTTATCTTTTGGGAAAAAGAGAAACCAGGTGCAGAAACAGAGCATGAGAGTGGACAGAGAACATGACCACTGAAGCACAGCATCACATAGAGACAGTTAAGCCCCTGGATGTCTGTGGGCCTACTTGACAGCCGTCAGGCCTACCACAAGAGCTTGGAGGAGCGGAGTTTTCTCCTAACTTACCCGAGGAAGGAGCTGTCTCGGTCATTTTGGATGTCTCCTTCCCTAGCTGGCTAAACAGCGGGTGCTTTCCCAGTGCTGGCGCTGTCACACAGCTGAGGCACCCTCCAGCAACCCTTATGCAGGCGTGACAGAGGGCTTAGAGCATCTTGCCTTAGGATCATTTTGTTCACCATGTCACCTCAGTTCCATGCTTCATAGCCCGATAATCATTAGTAAACTCAAAAGGTTATATTGAGCATATATATGTGAATAAATATGTGATTATATATGGTTATATATATAGGAATAACTATGTAGGTATAATAGGATATATATAATATATATACAGGAATAACTATGTAGCTATAATATATAATAATATATTCCGATATATAGGAATAACTATGTAGCTACGTCTAATTCTTTTTCTAGTTCTGTATTTATATGGGAAGAAGCTGAGGCTTCAGACCCCTGCTTTGGCACTTGCGCGGTCTCCCACAGGGTCTCCCACCCACAAGGTCAGGAGTTCAAGACCAACCTGGCCAACACAGTGAAACTCCTTCTCTACTAAAAACTACAAAAAATAGCCAGGCATGGTGGCAGGTGCCTGTAGTCCCAGCTACTTGGGAGGCTGAGGCGGAGAATCACTTGAATCTGGGTGGGAGAGATTGCAGTGAGCTGAGATCACACCACTGCACTCCAGCCTGGGCAACAGAGTGAGACTGCATCTCTTTATTTATTTATTTAAAGATGGGGTTTCACCATATTGGTCAGGCTGGTCTTGAACTCCCGACCTCAGGTGATCTACCCGCCTTGGCCTCCAAAGTGCTTGGATTACAGGTGTGAGCCACCACGCCCGGCCTGCATCTCTTTAAAAAAAAAAAAAAAAAAAAAAAGGAATGAGTGGCTGTGATTGGAAAAGTATATATTTTCCTAAAAATTAAACATCAATACCTATGAAAAGGGAAAATAAAAAATTAAAATTATGGCAAGTACTAGAGCCAAAAAAAATATTAAAATTAAACATAGATGTTGGGGTGCACTAGTGGAAGATAAAAGTCTGGTCCTATGTATTTAAACAAGATTTTATTAAAGTTTTGATCTGGCTTTAATAAAATTG